CATCCACCTACAGCCCAACCCATTTTCACAACCCGAATTAGCCTCAAGTGGCCTTTTTTTCTAAATTTATCTCAAGGGAGAAGAGTACATATATTTTGAGAGAAGAAAGATGGTATAATTTTAATAAAATCCAATAGAGGATCTGTAATTTACTGTTCCTATCAAATAACAAAATGGAAAGTGAAGGTGCTATATTTATTTCTTTATCATAGTTTCCTTACAACCGTAAGACAAATTTTAATTTTTACAATTTAATATCATATAATCCAATCATGAAAATAAATTTGTTTGGCATAATATACCTTTATTAAAACAATTCATAAGGATATCTATTAAATTCTATCCAGACCATGTCTTCGTAATAAACCAAACAGCCCTGATATTAATTTCCTTTTGCTTTTTTTATAATTTAACCATACTTCCAATAGTTGTTTGAAGTTTACCCTAACCGCTTGTATTGATGTAACTTTACAATAATTAAATTAATAATCAACAATTCCAATCAGATATTGAGATTGTGGCCTTGGTAGGCATGCTCTGCAATATTGTACAATGACACGAATAAATAAAGAAATAAATATATTTATAAATTAATGTATGTGCGCACTGAATACTTTTAGTAAGCCAGGCTTGTTTCCTTTTCTATCTTATTAAACAAATGAAACAAAACAAACAAAATGATAAAGGAACCCACTACCTTCCTTCTTTCTTTCTTTTTGTTTTTATTTATTTATTAAACAATAAATAAATAAATGAATTATTTGTGTTATGGTGATGACTTGCCCAAGGTTGAAGGGTGGTCCTGTCCATTTTAATTTTGGCCTGTGGGACACTGCTGCTGCCCTCCAATGACCACTTGCATGCCTTTGCCAACATTTTGAGTATTTGTTTCCCCATTCATTATAATATTTGACAACCTACATAAATTGCACTTGAGTTATTAAATGATATAAAATATAAAACTTCCTATATAATATGAAAAAATCACAGAAAAAGCCCGTAAAAATTATAAAATCTCAAATCAAGAATGTTCTCATAAAAATATTGTTAAAACTTGTTAAAGTGTCGTGATGAATCTTGATTTGGGTTTTATAGTCTTTATAGTCTTTATCTGTTATTTTTTCATATAATATTGATAATTCCTATTTTTATTTCTTTGATTTTAAATATAAAAACAAAATAACTAATTTATCGAGACTAAAAAACTTGATTAAATTAATTATTTATAAGAAATATATGTTAATTTTCTTAAAATACATTCTTTAATCACTTACATTAGAAAAAAAAATTATCAACAAATCAGAGAAATAATTATAAACTTCCAAAAGAATATAAAATTATTATGTATCACATGCATCCTACCTATGAGAGAAGATATCTAGCTATAAATATATAACAGCAAAGTATAGAAACTTTCTTTGAGTTTTGCTAATTCAATTTGCTCTACACAAAGATTAGAAATTGAAAGCTTAACTATCTAGTTAAAGAATAAGAGCCGATACTACTCATCAATCTGAATTGATAAACCCTATATACAGCGTTTAAAAAAAGGAACTAAGCGTCTATTTACTTTACATATGGCCATAACTTTTAATTTCTTTGGAATTAAAAAATAAAAGTGAAATTCTTCAAATTTGAGATCTATCAAGCTACCATTTGTTAGTGAATTCCTTCTTCTTTTTTTTTCCAGTGAAATTGTTAGTGAATTCTTTATCTTATTAATATTTTTTCCGCCAAAACTTTATTTCACTAATGGAAACTCACCAAGACAAAAGAATTACTGGCAGATGACTCCTAGAGTATGGTACTTTGAATAGCGTTCCAAACGAATTGTTAAAAATATCGAAAGTTAATTACTTTTTTTTCACCTTGTCTTTTTTTTTTTTAACCTTGGAAAGTTAATTACATTAAACCCCTTGAATTTTGAGACAGCCGTGATTGACTTGACTTTGATTTTTTCCTCTTTCATTCATTTTCTTCTGAAAGTTTCTTCATCTTCCACAAAAACTTACCTACAATTGAAACAAATTTATCGATTTAAAAATATATCCCTTTGCATTTAATATAAAGCATACCTTTAAATTTATTTATATTAAAAAAGAGTCCTTTCTTTTAAAAAGCAAGTACTAACATAATAAAGATTGATTTAGTTAATAATAATTCAATTCATAACTCATAAGGTCGTGGATTCAAATTCTGCTTAATGTGAAAACTTTTATGAATCATTTACATACTTTTTGAACTTAGAGCCATACTTTAATTCTAGTGAACTTGGAGATCCGATTTACCTAAACATGTTTATTTTTAAAAAAAGCAACTACTGAGCCAACAAATTCAACCTCTTGGCTAGATTATGCATTGAATATTAACGGGAACATACTTTTAAAAAAAGTAATATTTTGCAAATCTGTTGCTGGATTAGCAGAGTCCATGGGGCTGACGTGTTTGCCATTCTTTTAAAAATCTTCAACAAATAAATTATAATTACTATGAGAAGCCAAACATCTCTCTCATGCAAACAAACATGTTCTCAATCATTAAATATTATGATTGTGTTTGATGAAAGTTTAGTTAAATGAAAGCCTCCCAAGGTGATAGAAAAGAAAAGAAAAGAAAAGAAAGAAGGCTTAAACTAAAATTTCCCGGTGGGCCCCACCCATACTAGACCCATGTGATTTCATTAGAGGGATGCATTAAACATATAATTAGCCAAACAACTGTGAGTTCAATGAATAATAATAATACAAGCGTTGGCATGAACATATAATACGATACAAATGCATTAAATGATAGGCCATTTAAAGATATAAAATATTATGGCAAAAATGTATAGTTTAATAGTAGCCTACTTAACCCATTATGATTTAAGATTCATAGAAGAAATGTTAATTGAAGATTGGTAATTAATTATTGTATAGATTAGGCTAAACATCAAATCCATCAAAGTCTTTAAACGCCTAAACTCTTTCTAACCCATCATTACAAATGAATTATAAAGATCAAATTGAAAAGCTTTTGGATTTATACTTAGGATTCAGATTCATGTTCGTTCATTTAGATTTATAGTATACTTTTTGCACCAAGAGCCGGAGGCAAACCCATAAATATTTAATCAATCATATGCTTCGTGATAAAAATTGTGAATCACTTTTTTTTTTATCTCTTTAATTTCACCATGTAAAACAATACTTTAGGAAATTCCCGTCTGATTTTTTCAATGTCATATGGTCATTATATATGACTTCATTATTTTTCTCTCCTCCAAAACAAATTGACATGTAATCGTGCAGTTACGTATTTTGGAGAGCGAAAGGGGCCCACCCTTCTTCAGAAATCAGAATCATCTTGTCTTCTGCGTCTATCATACTCCCTTGCCTTGTTATGCGACTCCTTTTAGAAGTGAAGTGAATGACACTTGGGTCATTTGATAGAACGTTAATTGCTTTTTAATAAAGCATTAACTGTAAGAAAGAATATAATACAAATGTGAAAATTTTCTATTTAATTATTACAAAAATGTTAAATTTCAAACAGATAAATAAATTATGCTAATTACTCTTGCAATAACTTTTAACGAGTCAAAATCAACTATTTATCATTTTCAAATTTACTCACTATTTTTCTGTCAGCTTTTCTTAAATATTTCTTTCTTTATATGAGAGGTAGATAACAATTTAGATAAATTAAAACTAATTTAATTATTTGTAATAGATATGTGCTGATTTTTCTAGAATACTCAATTTAATCAAGATATCTTATATTTAGCACTAAAGTAAACCCTTTATTATATTTAAAATTGAATGTAGTATGAGTAAAATTGGAAAATTACTCCATTTTCAGACACAGTTAATAACTTAATATCTCTTTTTGGTTCTAATGAGGTGATTAAAAGTGTCTTATAATAGAAATCAAAAGAAGCACACAGCCAAGTAACATAAAAAGTCTAAAATGAGTCACATTACTTATAAAAAGATATGAATCGAAGAATGAATGGAGTCCTTATAAAAATAGCACAAGCAATGAAAAGGCTTGGACTCAGTGTTCACAGCAATCAAGTGCTTTGTCCCAAAAAAAATGATGGGGCAATTGAAATTATGGAATCCTTAAGTATGATTGTGTTACAACTAAAGCATGGTGCTCATTAGCTATTACCTTTATTGCTTGGATAAGCATGACCAGTGTTCATTTTTCTTCTCTTCAAGAAGAATTCTAACACTTAAGTTACTCCAACCTTGAAAAAAAATTACCCACATGACACAAGCATGGTCGCCTTTCACTCTTTTGAAATTAAAATGCTCTTAATGTGACAGAACACAAGGAAGAAGAATTTATATAGAATCAACTTCCTGGCTACTAATGAAGGACCTGCTTAAATGATCTGCAAAGTAGAACAGGGATAATATTCAGGATTCAAATTCTCCTCACGGTTAACCAAAAGCTTCTTTGCTTTCTTTCTTTCCTTCTTTTCATACCTAGAAACTGTATTATGCAAATCGAGACATACAATTCTCAGCAACAATTTTTTTTTTTGAAAAAAAATTCAGACTTAACCTAAAATTATGCTCAAGGAAAACATGTGCTGTTAGTAATAACTGACTCTTTCTACCAACTCCTCTCCATATTCTATTCTTCCTTTTGTTCCTTTATTTCGAAGGATCCAAATCCATGTTCTTAACTCTAGTGTAACAGATAAATACAAGAGGAATCTACTAGACAAGTAAAAGCCCGCCCACCAAGCTCTAATACCACAAACAAAAAATTTCTGGTACAAAGGCATCATCCGTAGGGAAGGGCAGTTAACTGTATCTGGTTTTTCCTCCATAATGATTTAAACACGAGTGAAGATAATCAAGATGCTCAGAATCTGATGAATATATAGACACTTCATCAGAGTAATTAGTGTCCTAAGAGAGACTTGTCAGGGGAAGAAAGGTATCAACTTTACAGGGAGAAATGTATTACTTTCTTGTCAAGTAAAAAGATGAGAAATTTGGGCAATATAAGTAGAATTAAATGCATGAATAGAATATGGCCATATTAAAAGCAAGAGTACTAGAAGTCTAAAACATAAAGATAGCTCATAAAATGAAATTCAGTTGCTGATTCAAAAGTTTTACTTCCCTCATTGGAAATAATAAGCCTAGATCACATAGACAATTAGCATTGAACCATAGACAAGGAAAATTCAATGACAAAAAAGACCAACAGAAGCAGTAAGTCCCGAAGCACCTTTTCAATTTTTAAACATTAATTGGGTTCTAATGTTCAAATTGCCTCTGCTTAGCATCCCCATGTTGAAACTGAGATTAGTTCCTTCCTCTGCCAGCATAGAACAAGAGAAGACTGCTTCTTCTCCACATGAAATCCCCTTCCAGGGTTCCTCTGAACCAAACATTCTGCTTGAGATTCTGTGAAGTTACTCAGTGTCAATGGCGAAAACCCAGATGTCAGAAGCAGGGTTTTCCACTGCGGGGTTCTTTCTTGTAATTGCAGCCTGTGGCGACCCAAAACCAGCTTCTCCATTGCCGGTTGAACAAGGTACTTCTCAATCATCTGAAGAACATCAAGGTTGACACTAACAGCATCAAGCGACTCAAGAAGCACTGAATAAGATTGAAGAGCGTAAATCAGGTGTTGAGCAAATGGCGCATCAGTTCGATCACAAGGCCTATCCACAGTGACAACAATTTTCGGCATGAGATGCTTCAGAAAACGAAGGACCAAAGAGAGATATGATGGGCAATGCGAGAAGGAAGCAATGGGCAAATTAACAACAATGGCTTCACAGTCTCGAAGACGTTGTGGCCAAGACGCAGTGTTCAAAGAGTCCAGGCTCACAATCTCAAGCTCGAAGGGTATGCTAAGATCAGAAGCATATTGTTTCAGAATTTCTTGAGTGAAACTGAGCTCGAATTCGTCATGATTCGAGGGCAATACAAAGGCAGTGATTTTCAGAGAAGGTGAACCACCGTTTCTGAGAGCTAGCTCTTGCATGAAAGAAGCCCATTGTCCACCAAACCCAATGTCAAAATCCATTACATGGATTCGATCATACCCTTCAACAGCTTCAAGAAGTGCTTGGTTGCAAGTGAAATTCGAGAATTGGAGAACTGGAGAGATTTCTGAGAAAGATTTGCAAGCTCCAATCTTGAGGACAAGGCCACTGGGAGAGAAGGTCAAAGAATTGTTGTTGGTGTTGTTCAAATGGAGAAGAAGCGATTGCAAGGCCTCCTTCATGTAAAAAGCAGCCCTTTGAAAAGGCTTACCAATTGGAGAAAGTTGGTGATTGAGCCGCGCCAATATCCCTTGCGCGAGTTCCGGATTACCGGTTTCGATCATCTCTGTGGCCTTGAACAGCTTGTCCATCACACTCTGCTGAAGCTGGTGGGTCACCAATTCTTCGCCGGGGCTCGCCATTTTTGGCTTCGGAGCCATCGCCGGAGATGCCTGACGTTGCTGCTGCAGATGATGAGGAAGCAACTGAAGCGGAGGTTGCTGCCCCCGCCGCAGATATATCTCCTGTCCAGGATCTGGAAATGGAGGCTTCACAGCCTGGTAATTTGGCCTGATAGGACTGCAATTAGGCCGTTTCGCCGGAGGCTGAGCAAGAAGCTGATGTTCATACGACAACGGCATAACAAAAGCTGGATTCTGTATAAACTGAGCTTGACTTTGGTTCAGAATGAACTGAGGATTGAGGATTTGTGGCTTCTCGTCCAGAGACCCCATAGCTTGCTGGTGTTGCTGAGGCTGAAACATACCCGGCGGAAGAGAAGTTGGTGACGGAGGGAAAATGGGGCTTTGATTCACAGAAGAACCAACTCTGGCCATATTACTATTAAAGCTAACATTGTGGATGGTACTGAAAGGAAAATCAGGAAAATTCCCAGGAGGAGTTCCAGAAGCGTCAATGCTGCTTGCAAAATTAGCACCAGAAATATGGTCTAGAACAGAGCTTTGATCCACAACACCGAAAACCCCACCTCCTCCTCCATTGAAATCGACAACATCTTGGTGAGAACCAGTTCCACTCTGCAAAAGCTTGCCTAATCCCACAGATGGGTCTTCAATGTCACCCATAATCATCCTCAGGATGGACTGATCTTGACCAGGCGACTCAGACAACACGCTCTCCCAGTCCTCCATTTCCATCCCACATCTTTCCAGCGCCGTCGGAGGAGTGGCGTCTAACACCGTGTGAGGGGGTGGGTTGTCGCCGGAGACCTTCGCCGCGCCTGTAGAACTGTCAGTGGAGCCGGTGGCGCCGCTGCAGCTGCCGCCACCGCCGTGTGAGGAAGACAGTGTGGAGGAGGAAGTCGGAGGGCTTGGGTTTCTTATGACGTTCAAAACGGAGGTGGGCTCAGTGCCCACATAGCAATGCTCTTGAAGAATATTGTTGCTATGATGATTATGATTCCACTTCAAGAACAAATCTGAAGCAGCAGAACCAAAATCCAAAACCCCTTTCCCTCGAAATTCCTCAAAGGGTAGGGGCACAGCCTTCATCTAAATCTTACCCTCAACAAAATGATGAAGAAGAACAAGAACACCTCCCCTTCCTCCTCCTGAAACCCAGAAAAACGAACAAGACGAAACCTTTCCAGATTTTTCTGGAGAAAATAATGGGCTCTTCAGCAGGGAACTCTTGAAATGGTGATGGGGAAAAACAGAAAATAAGATCTGGGCTTTGATTTGAAATCCAAATTTTTCTGACACCAGAAAACACTTGTCAAATGCATGCAAGGTTCTTCACCAGACCCATTCCAGCACACACAAGAACCTCATCTCTTCCAATCTCATCTCTGTTCATGTTTTTTGCCTCCTCTTTCTTTCCCTCCTTTTTTTTCCCTCTTCTCACCCTATAATATTGGGCTCTATTTTCTATGGCATAACTCACAGACCCATTTTTTCTGTTGTTCTTGTGCCGAGTAAAAATCTTTTAAATGGGTTTTCTTTCTTTCGATCTTTCTCTCTCTTTCCTTCTTTCCCTTGTCTGTGTGGAGTACCCTGTCTTCCTTGTGTTCTCTGCTATGGATGCGTGCAACATATAAAAGTGGTAAAGTGCTCTCTCTCTCCTTTCCTTCTTCTCTCTCACTGCCAATTTCTCTTTCTAGTCTCTATCTCTAGTTTATAAATTTATAATTTTTTTATGTGGCTTTTGTCCATCGACGTAGTTATCTCCCATGGTAGGGTCGCTATCACACTCCTTTGTCCCCACTCGCTGGACGTCGTTGTAGTGCGCACATTTATTTATTTTTTGTCAAAAGTTAAATTAAGAAAAACAAAAAATCCTATAAACTAGTTAAAAATTAATCAGTATAAAAATATTATTTTGAAATAATTATCAAGAAATATTAATTATAAATAGTAGACAAAGTACTCTCTTAATAAATACTTGTTGAAAAGATATTTTCCAAATCTATATCTAAGTATTGGCCAAGGAAATTATATGAAATACATATCAAAACTAAAATTTATAAAAAAATATTTCTTATTTTTTAATTATAAATATTTTGTTTTAGAGTCTATTTAAATATGTGCCCACATTGCAGTTAATTTTTTAAATTGTCGTGAATATAAATGTGGCACCTACTTTGTACAATACTTATTATTATATATTTTGCAGAAAGTAAGTGACTTCACGATCTTTGAAGGCGCGTAACACAATGGTTCTGACTGTTTATATTTTCTTGTTCTTAAAATCCTTTTAACAGAGACCAACGATACAGGTTTAAAAGGCGAACTGGGCTCACAGGTTTTTTCATAATTACCTTATTTCCCATCGTACCCTTGAACTTTTCACTGCCCTAGACAGGGAACCGGGGTAAAAATAGGGGTAATATCGTAGTTTAATAAACGACCGCTGCTGGGCCTGTTTTTCGAAACTGAATCTGACGACGCGAGATAATAAAGCTTTTTGCGGGTTTGAAAATATCGAGGCAGATTTTGGACGGACAAGATTGTTGATCACCGATGAGAACGCGTGGCTGAGATTGGATTTTAATGACTGAATGAGAAAGAAAATAAAATAGGTCTGTCTCAGGGTACGGATTTTGAATCTGGGACCAATGGGTCTAGTCATTTTTAGGAACTGGGATACTTTAGTCATTTCAGTGGGCAAAGTAATGGTAAATACGGAAATTTGCGTGCCAGGGGAGTGCTAGGCTGCAAGTTATAATAGATCGCTCTATAGACCCAGTTTGAAATACAAAGCCTATTTATCCAATAAAGGAAGGAGGGGGAAAAAAGGCCTCCTTACGAAAGTGAGGCCTGGAATTTTATGCTCGTATGAGAAGTATTTACCGGTGGATTTTTTTGGTTTATTAATAATTACTGTCCCCTTTTTTGTGTCAGAAATTACTGTCCCTTTATTATTTATAAGATGAAATTATCCAATTCTCACATACAATTAAACTTGATTAGCTAATTCGAATTTTAAACCGACTTTTACTTTTATAATGCTATCCTTATTTTATGCCACTTTATTTGCTAACATTTAATAGGAAAAACAGTATTTATAACAGGTCACTCGAATATTAAGTACTCCTCAAATTTTGTAATTTATCTTATTAATCGAAATAAATCACCCTTCAAAACTTTATCCTACAAAAAAAAACGCATTTGACAAAAAATGGCAATAATATTAATATGCAAATTCACGTCACAAAATTGCCACCAAAAAAAATTCACGTCAGGAAAAAATTAGAATAGATGCAGGTTTTGCGCATTATTCAAAGTTTTTAAAAAAATATTCTTTTCATATCACGGAACATACAAATATTTTGGATACTTCTGAATTCAATTTTATTGTTAATTATAAGAAATTTCATATTAACATAAATGTGAGTTAGGAAGAATCCCAATTAAATCCGATTAAACTATGAAAATCTAAAATTAGGCCCAGCAGCCTTATTAGGAATTTTTAAATGTTGTTAAAAAATTAAAATATCCTTTTAAGTTAGCAATTGATAATTAGTCCAATCAATTTATGACCTAACTACTTTTTTCTTAAGATGCTGCCAGATAATCTATCGGCTTCATGCATTCTTGCTCCATGTGTTGTTAAAAAACTAAAATGTATTATTTTTTTGTATAAATTTATATTAAGCAATTTATATTACTTAATCTGTGACATTACATGTTGAAAAAATTATTTAGATTTTTAATATAATTTCATATTAATTATTAGTATAAGTTTTAGTAGTGAGATTATAAGATATGACATGATGAGAATGTTTATATGACAGATATAACAAAGCACTTAAGAAAGAAATGATAAATTTAATGTTAAAATCTACTAATACATTAAGATTATGATTTTTTAACTGTAAGAAAAAAATTTGCTTCCAAAAATTATTAATTTAATGGTGTTGGAATTATGTAATTAAAAAGTCTCTGTTCCCATTACCCGAAAAGAAGTTTATGTTCCCAAAAATTTCTTATCAATATATTAGATTTAGTATAAAATGTTATATTACTCGCTGTCAATTTTTTTATTTTAGTATTTCCAAATTTTCTTATGTAAAATATTTTCTTATAAATAAATACTATATAATGTCAAGTTTTCATGGTTTAACTTTTTGTTTTCAAAATAATATTATTTTAAATTATAAAAGGATATTTTAGATTTTAAACAACATTAAAAGTTCCCTAATAGGGCCTCTTAACCTAATTAAAAATTTGTTAAAAATGCATGCCTTAATTTAAATTTTGATATTTCAAGTGGATTTAATTAGGATTAGGATTCTCCCTATAAGTTATGTAAATTCCCCAATATAATAAATAAATTATATTTCTTTGTTAAACAATCTCAAATTAACTTAACATATTGGGAAAATCCCTTTAAAAAGACACTTAAATAACTCAAATCTTTATTTGTGTTACTCAATTTGTCAAAATCCCCAACTAGGTCACATAATTCAAAGGTAGATTTCAAAATTTTATGAAATGACTCTAATATCTCTTTCATTAAAAACCTAAGGAGATGAGGATTTTCTATTATTCCCATATTGCACAAGAGCCTAAACGAGAAAAACTTAGTGTCTAATATTACATAACCAGAAAATTAGTCAAAGATACAATAGTTAGTTAGTTTTTATATTAAATCTTTTTCGCGTTTTATCCTGATAGAAAGTTGTTAATTTAGAATTAAAACATGTTAATTGCAAAATAGAATATGATAATTTTCAAGGTTGTATTATGATAAAATTCCATTCAAAGACTTATTACAAGTGTTATTGAGATGGAAAGTTGTTAATTTAAAATTGAAACATAGTTAACTATAAAATAAAACATGTTAATTTTCAAGGTTATATTGTTATTAAGTTAATTCAAAGACTTATTACAAATGTGTTATAGGGACAAAAAGTTATGAATTTAGAATTGAAACGTATTAACTGTGAAATAAACATGTTAATTTTTAATGTTGTATTATGATCAAATTTTATTCAAAGACTTATTAGAAACAAGTTTTGGAGTCATAAAATTATTAGTTTAAAGTTGGAACTTTTCAAATGCACAATCGAACTTATAATTAAATTTATACATATGTCTTGTGAAAACATAAAATTGTTAATTTAAAATTTAAACATATTAACTGAAAAATGAAATGTATCAATTTAGAATTATCTTTTGGTTTCTAATAAAAAGGGCATTAGAATCATTTCATAAAAGTTTAAAATTTTTCTTTGGGTCATGTGACTTAATTAGGAGTTTGATGAATTTAATGACCAAAATAAGAATTTAGTTGATTTAAATGTCTTTCTAAGAAATTTTTCCTAAGATATTTATACTTCTTTTTAATATTATTTTTAAATTGATAAAAAAATAACACTTATACTTGAATTTAAAATTAACACTTATTTTTGATATACCTTATTGGGAATTGTGTTGGGTCAGTAAGTAACTATGTACTTGATGAATTTCATTAAAATATAGTACCCACGTTCTACCTTACCTTATGACTTGATTGTTGGGGGCACTATATTAGTCAATAATAAATATAAATGTCAACGATGTAATAACAATATTTGCTTTAATGGTAAATATCTGTTTTCTTCTATTTGTAAATGGATTCCCAAGCAGCTCTTAATGGGGGCAAGTGGGATTTGCGTGTGTGTATGATCTCTATGTCATTAGAGAGCCAAATTTAATTCTCTAGATTAGATAGGTGGTGATACAACATTAAGGTTGGTCTCTAAGCTCGAGTATCTATAGAATTTAGGTAAGACTTATAACTTAATCAAATAGCAACGAAGTTCGACATCCATGAGTAATTCCTAACATTTTAGCTATTACTTATAAGTATTTCTTAATTATTTTTAACCATGAATGAGAAAAGTAATAACACAGAGTTGATTTAGAAATGTATCAATGAAATGGATTCCCTAGGGTCTATGACTTCTCCTTCGTCGCCTTATTATTATTGAGTTGATGTATTGTGATTAAGTTAGAGTACAATAAATCTTTGTGCACGAATATTTGAGATTTAGTTTTGTTAGAAGGTTTTCTTGGACCTAATGTTCAATATTGTGTCTATCTACTTAAATCTTCCATTCTCTAGAACTTATTCTAGTTCTTATTCAGGACTTAGTTGCATTGATGTAGTGAGCATGATAGAGACATTTAATTATAGTCCCTTATATCCTAAACGTACAAAATTCTTATTAATTTCATCCATTGTCAACCCTTTTGAACCATTCACTAAATGTTGTGCACTCATATTTCATCTTAGTGCTTAAACATCTTATTTAGTTGAAGTTGAATCTTGTCAATGGAAAAATATGATGTTATTGTATAAAAGTATGCTGTGCATATGAAAAAAAGAAAAAGAAAAAAAAAAGAGAAGAGAAGAAAAATTGAGAGAAAAGCATTCTAACTAGTTAAAAATAATAGTTCAAAGTGACTAATGATTTTGAGATTCTAGTTGAATTCATTGCAAACATATATGTATAATATTCTTCTTTCTTTCTGTCTCTTCAATTTAACCTTGTCCATCATCATAACCCTCAAAATCCTCTTGATCATTTTTTTCCATGGCAAAACAAGACAATTTTATTAATAACCAAAAACAATATCACAC